TATTTACAATAGCAAAAAGATGGAGGCAGCCAAAGTGCACATCAACTGAAGAATGGATAAACAAACTGTGGTACATACACACAATGGAATACTATGCTACCTTGAAGAAGAACAAGGAAGTTGCAAGCCACCGCATAACATGGATGAACCTTGAGGGCATTATGTTGAGTGAAATTAGTCAATCCATTAACTTTTGAAGCTCTTTCATATAGGTCTTCAAACTCATAGAGCTATGGAAGAAAAAGGGGAAAAAAAGGGTAGTAGGAAGGAAGGTATGAGGAAAGATTATAATCACACAATACACACACTCAAGAGGAGCTCTGGTAGTATAATAGTTATGAGTCGGGCTGCTAACTGCAAGGTCAGCAATTCGAAACTACCAGCTACTCCACGGGAGAAAGATGAGACTTTCTGCTCTTGTAAAGATTTGCAGCCTCAGAAATCCTATGGAGGGTCGCTATGAGTTGGAATCGACTCCACAGCACACCACCACCACACACAAACTCAAGATTACAGTGGTTATAAAGGTATTACATTTGCCAAAACTCATAAGACAATTTGTTGTTTTTGTTAAGTGCCATAGAGTCAGTTCTAACTCATAGTGAACTTGTATAGGTTTTCAGAGGAATGGCTTACGGTTTTGAACTGTCAACCTTGCAGTCAGCAGTCCAGTGCTTATCCTGCAGTGCCACACCAGGACCCCATAGGACACTTTAGATGGGTGAACTTTACTGTATGTAAACACCAACAAAGTTGTTTGCTTTTAAAGGTCAAATGTCTGTTCCTTTACCTGACTAGTAAACTACAAGTTTTACTAGAGAACAAAATGAAGAGGAAAAAGAATGTACAAATAAGCTATCAAGAATGAAAAGACAATGTAGCTAGAATATAGAGGATGTAGATAGAATATAGACTTAAAATAAAATAAAAATATTATTTAAGTTAATGGCAAAAACCAGATCATTTTTTAGAAAAACCTAATTGAAAAAGTAATTCAAGGAGGAATACAAGACTCACTTTTGGCAAGATGACAGACTAGGCAGACATCCTAGACAGACCATCTACAACCAAATGAAACAAATAACGAATGATAGTTCTGAAATGCTAGGATAGACAAGTGGGTTTGGATACCAACTAGAAGCTAAAGAAAAGAGGTGAGAGAAGAGACAGACAAATAAACTGTCAATTAACATGACAAGGTGCTGACATCTTGAACTTTCACAAGCAGCACTGGATCAATATAGCATCCTGACAACACACACACACCAGTGCTAATGACAAGAAAGATACTTTTCCCTTGTTCCCCACACCTTCCTGGTAGCCAGAAGCTTGTCCAGCCCCCACCCTCACCCACCCAGAGGTTAGTGACACCCCCTATCCTGCACAGACCCTGCTCTGAGATTGGACTCACCTTCATAGATTGGGTGTTGGGTGCACCACCCCTGAATCTGAAGGCATCTGAACCTCATCAGACCACCAGAATGCACAGTGTTGACCTAGTCACTCCAGGGATGCCAAGAACTCTTTCCATAACCAGCCACCCTGCCTCCAACTGCCCTCTTGACTAGAAAGAGTTCCTTCCAAGAACACGCACCTTGATCTCAGACAACTTCTGAGCCAGCTCAAACTACTTCTGGGTCAGGTACCCTAAGTCCAAATAACATCTATGCCAGCAGAATTCCATTTTGGATGGGGCATCCCATTCTCTCACACCTCACTTGTACTTTTCTGTGGCAGGGAGTGATGGCCCATACTGGATTCCCTACACACAGTTTTCTCTTCCCTGGGCCCTGTATCTGCACAGGTTTTCTCATTCCTTCCCTTCTTTTTCAATCTTTTCTCTTACCTCTTTACTGTTCATCTCTTCTCCACCTCCCTAGTTTTGCTTATTGTATTTTTATTGCATTGTAATTTTTTATTTTCCTTTCCTTTTTAGTTATTAAATTCTTTTCTCTTACAGTTGTCTGCCTGATTTCCCCTGCTTATCTTTTATTTACTTTTTTGCAATCATACCCACATGGTACAGTCACATTCACTACTCCTTTAACTCCACCTACTGGCTGAGGACCACTACCCACTCCTGTGCCACCTGAACAGTGATAGACAGCAGCCAACAGCAGCCAAGCCTACCCTCAACTATGCTGCATGAACAGCGAACAGAACTGTGAATGCACTCACATTCTCTATTACACCTACTAGGAGACAAGTGGTGAGTGCTTAAGAATGCACCAACATACAATCATCAATCAAATACAAATACAACTCCTCAATGTCTCAGAAAAAACACAACTTCAGTTCACAGGAAGAAACAAGTTGGAGTGACTGAAACACGTAACTAAAAATACAGAGCCAAAGGCCTTTCTGAGAAAGAAATGGCATGGAAACTATTTGATAAAGAATTCAAAAGAATGATATTTAGGTATTTTCAGATTGAGAAAAAAAAATGAGAAAGCTACAGATGAAAACAAGGAAAATACAAACAGAACTTTAGAATAATTCAGGAAAACACTACAAGAATAAACTAACAAAGCAAAAAATTAGAAATCCATAAATTAATTAAAAACAGAAATTAAATAAAAACAGAAATCCATAAATTAATACTAGGATTTCAGAAATAGAAAATATACAAAAAGGGCAAACGAATAGAATTGAGTCAATGGAAGGCCAAATTAGTAAATTTAAAGACAAATTTCTCACTATGAATCTGCTAGAGGAACAATCAGAAAAAAGAAAGGAAAAAAATCTGAAAATTTATGTGGAACATTATCAAGAAGAGTAATTACTTGTAACTGGAATTCTAGAACAGGAAGAGACACAAAAGAGCACAGAGAAAATTGTCAGAGTTGTTGGAAGAAAATTCCCCTAACATCATATTGTTGTTGTTAAGTGCCGTGGAGTCATTTCTGACTCATAGACACCCTGTACAGGGTTTCTGAGGCTGTAAAACTTTACAGGACCAGAAATCCTCATTGTTCTCCCATGGAGCGGCTGGTAATTTCAAACTGCTGACCTTAAAATTCGCAGCCCGATTCATAACCACTATGCTACCAGAGCTCCTTTAACATCTTGTGGTCCCTTAAATTTGCTTGATATGTCTTTTCTATCCAGTCTTAATTCTCACCAAGTGATTGGAAGAGACCATGCAAATAAGGAATACAGGACTCTAAGTTTTGGCCTTCAGCTAGGTTTATTTTTAACATAAACAATGTTGTTGTTAGTGTCAGGTGCCATCGAGTCGTAACTGACTCATAGAGACCCCATGCACAGCAGAACAAAACAACGTCCGATCCTGGGCCAACCTCACTACTGCTGCCACACTTGAGTTCATCAATGATGCCACCTGGCCGATCCATCTCGTTGGGGGGTTTTCCTCTTTTTCTCTGACCCTCCATCTTACCCAGAATGACATCCTTCTCCAGCGACTGTTCCCTCTGGACAATGTGTCCAAAGTATGAGAGACGAAGTTTTGCCATCCTGGCCTCCAAGGAGCACTCTGGCTGCACTTCTTCTAAAACAGATCTATTGGTTCTTTTGGCAGTCCATGGCACTTTTAGTATTCTCCTCCAACACCACAACTCAAAGGCATCAATTCTTCTACAATCTTCCTTATTCACTGTCCAGCTTTCGCATCCATCTGAGGTTATTGAAAATACTATGGCTTGGGAGGATAGGGACTTCCGGTGCTTCCCTGACTGGGCAGCACAGGTGCACGGGCTCTGGGAAAGAGTGGGTGGTATTGCACAGGGGTGGCCCCCACCTGGCAGACAGACAGCCTTTGGGCAAACCTAAGACTTTAGCCTCCAAAATTGTGGACTTGCTTTTTTGAAGGGTCGAGCTGCTGGGGAGTTGTGGGCATTTGGGGCCTGCGCTTGGCTCCTACTCCAGGACTGAGCCCACCCACTGTGGAGCTTGCAGCGCGATTTTGAGCGGATCTGTTCAGAGGGCAGGCGTGCCCAGAGAGCCTGCAGGGCCACAGGAACTGGCCTCATTGCCACAGAAGGCGTTGTCGCCGTGGATCGAGGGTGGGCCAGGTGCCCACGGCGCAGGGAGACAGAGTGAGGCATTTTTTTGATGTCATCAGACAGGGACGCCATCTGCCTACAGCCACTAATCCCGCCCTCCACCCTCTCTGCCTAGGCTAGCCCTCTACCCAACTTCCGAGGCTCAGGCCCACCCATCAAGGCACAAACCAGCACAAGCAGAGACACATTGAGGTGGTTTTTACCACCAGCAACAAGGCATTCCTGCTGTGACTCTGTGGGTTAAGGGTCAAGACTGTAGAGCCTTTTGAACTGCAAGGTCAGTGGTTCGAGCCCACCAGCTGCTCCTTAGAAATCCTATACAGGGTCCTTTTTTTTTTCCTTTTCTTTTTGTGTGTATGTGTGTGACTAGAGATTGCCTTAGGTAATCTCGTTGTTTTTTCTGATGCTGAATTTTTTTTTTTTTTTTTTTTTGTCTTGCTTTGTTTTTATCTCATTATCGCCTTTGTTGTTGACTTTGCTTTTGGTTTTGTTTTCTACCCAAATGGTGTTGCTTGGCTGTCACATAGTCTCCCTTCTGCTATGGGAGGACTCTTTGTCCCCCTACATTACACAAAAAGAGTCAGCAACTGCTGCCAAATAGCCAAACTGTAATAACACTTTATAAAACACCAAAACCCAGGCAAGAACCAATACCAGATGCCATAAATCAGGGAAACGGACAACACATGTAAGAGTTACTCTGAGTTAAGCAATAAAAAGAGTGAAAAGGAAGACCACATCCTGATAACATCTTCCTGGAGGCAATCAGAAAAAATAAAAAATTACCAAAGTATATACTTAATTAATAACTAGGGCCACAGATAAACATTGCACATATCCAAGAAGCAAAAGCAGATGACCAATTCAGCACATGTCCAGAAAAAAGATAAAACATCTGAGACAAGTGAACCAGAAGTAGACCTTCTCTCCATGCTGGAAGGAGGGCAGGCCTTAGAAATAACCTGAGAAAGAATTCATAAAATTGATTATAAAATGTTTCAAAACACTTTACAATGGAGTTGAGAAAAATAAGGAAGAAGTCAGAAAAGCGCTACAGGAACAATCAAAAAAGGTAGATACAGCATTGATAACATTCCAAAACCTACAGAAAGAGGTCCAAACAATCAACAACATGGCAGAAATAGAAAACTCTTTGAAAGGGCAGAGAAGTAGAACAGATGAGATGGAAGGAAGAATCAGTGAGCTGGAAGACAAGTCTCTCAATACCACTAAGATAGAAGAACAAAC